AACCAAGCAACCAACCAAGCAACCAAGCAACCAAGCAACCACGCAACCAAGCAAGCAAGGAAGCAACCAAGCAATCAATCAATCAATCAATCAATCAATCTCTCTCTCTCTCTTTGTCTGTCTGTCTCTGTGTTTGTCTGCCTGTCTATCTCCGTCTCTATCTCTCTATCATCCCTGTCTCTGGCTCTCGATCTCTCTACACACTATATCTCTCTATCCGTCTACTTACTTGTCTATCTCTCTCTGTCTCTATCTATCTGTCTGTCTATCTATCTACTTATCCACCGATCTACCTATCTACCTATCCACCTCTCCACCTCCAACCTATCTGCCTACCTATCTACCTTGTCTACCTGCCTATTCACCACTCTACTTGTCTACTTATCCACTCATCTATCTGTGTATCTAGCTACCGACCTATCTATCTAACTACCTATCTAAACACTATGTCCGAAACCCGGAACCCTAACTACTGTATTCCGGAACCCTAACTATTGTATGCATCTACAGGGCTCCCCTAAACCCTAAACCCTAAACCATAAATCCGAGACCCTAAACCCTAAATCCTAAACCCTAGACCCCAGACTCTAAACCCTAAACCCTAAATCCTAAACCCTTTACCCTAGACCCTAAACCCTAAACCCTGGCTCAAGCCATTTTGGCTCAAGGCTCAAGCTCAAGTGTTTGCCCCGTGGCCTGCTCTCTCGCCCGTGACACATAGGGGGTTGCGGCTGCTCGACTTCGCGGGCTCGATTCTCCCCCAGAGGTTCAAGGTCGGCGGGACGGGTACGTGCACGGGGTCTCGTTCGGTGCGATCAGGGACATGTCCGACGTGTTGATGGATGGCTACCAGCTTGGCCTGCCGGGGGCTGTGCACCAGCCGTTGCCGGATAGTTCGGGGGAAGATGTGAGCCCCGTCAAGAAGTCTAAGAATGAGATCAAGCCGGGAGGAGCCAACAAGGCTTCCAACCCAAAAGGTCCCAAGCGCCGGGCTCCGGAAGAGTCGGCGGAGACCAAGAGCTTGACCCTTGACATGTCCACTTTGGAGGGCCTCTTAGAGCAGCAGTGCCAGCGCATCTTGAAGGCAAATCGGGAGCATGCGCAAGGCCTCTTGGACGCACTGGAAGAAAGGCAGGCGGCCCGCTTCATGTCTATCGAGCGGAAGGTGGAAGGGGTCGAGTACACGGTGGACAGCTTTGATGCGAGGCTCAAGGCCGTCGAACAGAAGCTTCAACAAGGGGGGGGAGCGGAGAACCAGGGCCGCAGGCGTTGGACCCTCATCTTTGGGGGCTGGGAGCGGGATACGCGAAAGGATGTCATCCTGGGCGAGCTCGAGCAGGCCATCTCGAAGCTTGGGATCAAGGGCTCCTTCGACGAGAGGCCCTACACAACGGGGCCCCGCAGGTCAGTGGCCATGGCTAACATCTCGGTGCGCCCTGGCGAAACGGAGGAGGACAGGAGGGCTCGCATGCACGGCATCATCCTTGCGTTCTCGGGGGAACGCCTGTTGACCTCTGCCAAGAAGAAGCTGTGGGCGGGATATAGCAAGACAAAAGGGGAACGGGACGTTGCGGCGAACTGCTCCTGGATTCGCCGGTCCCTTGGCTCCTTGTCTCCCGACTTTGTGGGCATGCTGGATTGCGAGTATGGGACGGGCACGGTGTGGATGGGAGCGAGCCTTCTGGCGAGTGTCTCTCGAGAAATCCCAGCTGGGACAGATGCCTCCGACTACCTCACCAATACCATCGGGGATGCCAGGGGGTGGGTTAATGCCCGCCTGGCAGCTAAGGAGACGAAGCTCGGTGAGAAGCAAGTCAGGGAGGCCCTAGAGGCAAACAAACGCTGAGCCATTGAGGGAGCTTGGGATGCCTTGCTGGAGGTGGGGAAGGAGATACAACAATCCGTGTACAGCCCCCCCGGCAAGCAATTAGGTGCAGCGACACAAAATGCAACGAACAGTACCTTTTTCCCGGTGCGCGGGCCTTCCAAGAAGGATGTGCTGGAGCATGGGGGCGTCTTCATGGATGTTAAAATTTTTGGGTGGAACCTTGGCGGAGCAGCCTTGGAGAACTTCAAGCCTGCACTGGGCGATGCTGTCCGGGGCCCTTTGGCCTCGGGGGACATTGTCTTGCTCCAAGAGACACCTCGGAGAGCGAAGGGTTGGATGAAGGACCGGGTGGAAGATCGCCTGGTTGTCCAGCATCGTGGAGACGATCAGTGGAGGGGTGTTGGTGTCGCCTTTTGCGACAAGGTTTGGTCATTGCAGAAAAGAATCGCTGCGGGACCAGGGGCATGGTTTCATTTTCGACATCTTGAGAGTGATGTGGGGATATGGTGTGGCACTTTCTACTTTCGCCCAGGGACTAGCTTGGTCTGCTTTGAGTCGTTGCTTGCCCAGTTCCTGTCGAAGAAGCCCAAGACCAACTTGCCGATTATTGTCCAGGGGGATGTCAATGCGCATTTCCGGTGGGCACAAGGGGAGAAAAGAGATACGGCCCTGAGTACCGAGGGCCGCTCGCTTTTGTTCGCCGACAGGGTTAAGGCTTTGGACCTCGGTTTGCTTGCTCCCATCCGATCTCATCAAAACTTGCCTACAAGTCGTCCGCGCCAGGAAGGGAGAGAGGGTCACCACATTGACGTCTTCCTGGGCCAGCGCATTCCGAGGTTCCGGGTTGAGGTGCTGGTGGGATCGCATGCTCTTCTGGGTACTGATCATGAAGCGGTATGTGCTGTTTGTCGCCTTAGGGTCGCGAAAACTTGGAAGAGACATGTGACCGGGCCTAGGGTCTGGACGGGCGGGCTTCAGAGGATTGCTTTCCTGGACCAGGGTGAGCTGGAACGCGTTGCCAAGACTTACACCAAGCCGAGACCCGGCAAGGCATATCGTGACCCGGAGGAGGTCAAGCTCGCCTTTCGACGAGCTCGCCTGCATCAGACCAAGGAAGCTTGGAAGCGAGCGCTTGACAGCAGAAGGAAGGCCAGAAGAGCCTGGGAGTACGTCCGCATCGAGAATGCGGCCAGGGGGGACTGGGCGAGTTTCCGGGAATGCGCTAAGAGTGGCCCGATCGGTTGGGATGTCGAGTATGCGGAGGCACAGTCGATAGATGCGCATGAGTCCGTTCACGATCACTTGAAAGGTGTCTATGCGGGTCAGAGGGTACGGCCTTTTCCTGATGTCGCTAAGGGGGTGGACGCCTTTTCGGTCGAGGAATTGCAGGCAGCGCTGCACAGCATGAAGAATGGCAAGTCGGTTGGGATCGACTTGACGAGCAAGGAGCTTCTTTCGGGGGTCATTCAGGTCGAGGGGGGGCAAACCCACCTACTGGAGTTCCTCAACAGAGTCCTGGCCACCCGGTCGATTCCGCCAGCCTGGAACAGGCCCCTCGTCATTCTCCTGCCGAAGACGCCCTCGCCATCTTCTGCTACTCAGCTCAGGCCGATTGCCCTTGGCAGCAGTGTGGCTAAGCTCTTCTCGAAGATGTTGGTCTCCCGGGTCAAGCGGAGGCTAGGGTTCCGAACACACTCCCAGTGTGCAGGGTCGGGGAGGCAAACGGCGGATCTGCTCTTCAGCATGCACAGACTCTTGGAGTTGGCTAGAGAATGGAAGTTGTCGGCAGCTTTCCTCAAGCTTGATGTTCGCAAGGCGTTTGACTCGCTGAACCGCCAGGCACTGCTCTCCAGACTTCATGAAAGACTGGGTGATACGGCGGAGTTCTTCTGCTTGCAGGCCTTGCTGTGTGACGTCAGGGCTGTCCTGCAAACTCCGTGGGGCATTTCGGAATTCGACATGTTGAGTGGCATCAAACAAGGTGCCGCAGAGAGCCCTCTGCTCTTCGGGTTTGTCATGGAAGTGGCACTCCAAGAAGCGGGGGTTCAGTTTGGCTGGGATCGTCTTCCACGTCTTCTGCAGGAGCTTGAGTTCTCCGACTTGTTGTTTATGGACGACGGAGTGCTCTGGGCACAGGGTTGTGGCGATCTGTCGCGCAAGGTGGAACAATTTTCTTCTGTGTTGCGCCAGTATGGGCTGAGGCTAAATTTTGGAAAATGCCAACTCTATTGTACGCCAGCTACCCAGCACCCACACGAGATTCTGGTTGAGGGCGTTACTTTGCAGGGGGATGCCGGCCTTGACATCATGGGGATCCGAATGGCACAGGGGGCCTCTGTCTCCGACATGATGTACCCCATGCTAATGCGGGCACAGGATAAGTTCTGGTCCCTGCAGCACTTGTTGCGTTGCAAGGTGTCAGCGGTAGCTCGCCTCAAGCTCATGGACAGGGTGGTCACGAACTCAGCTATGTGGTGTGCATCGGCCTTTCCTCCCGATAGAGGGGCTTTGAAAGCTGCGAACACACAGCAGACGCTCCTAGTTGGCTGGTTGTTGCGACTGGGGAAGAGGGAAGGTGAGGAATGGCTGACTTTTCGACAACGAATAGTTCGCTCGGCAAGGGTGATGTTGAACAAGGCGCGGGAATCCCGCGATGGTCCACGGTGTGGTTGCAGAGATGGTGGGGATATGTGGGTCACAGGGCTAGGGCTTTGCTTCGCGAGGTGCCACCATTCAGCTCTCACGTAGACATCGTGCGGACTGTTCAGTGGTGGGAAGTCCAGAAACGCCGAGGCCTCCAACATCCGGGCGTCTTCTATCCCCGCCTGGCCAACCTCGAACGCGCGATGAACAAGGCCTGCTCTGGTCCATGGCGGGAATTTGCTCATGACAGGAAAGGGTGGATGCAGAAGGGGGAGCAGTGGATTCGAGAGCAAGATCTGCCTTGGGCATCCGGACTTCAACTTTGCTTGACGGCAGACTGAGGGTTAGGGTTGGGGCAGGGTTTCAGACGACGTGAAGGTCCGACCTGATAGCTCTGTGGCTCGAAGTCTCAATTCGACCTCGGTGGAACCTCTTCTCGTGACGAGATGATGGCCGCACTACGTGTTCTACTTTTGGGGCTGGGTGCACTCCTTTGCGACTGCTCCTTGCCGACTTACATGACCGATGTCCGCCGTGGACTTGCACTCGGCCTTCCGGCCTTTTCGCTCGTGGGTGGAACCCCGCTGCCGATGCCGTGCGGGGTGATGGTGGTGATGACCTACGTGCCGCGAGTGGTGGCGCCCACGTCAGAAGTTATGGGGAGTTGGCCTCCCAGGTGGTTTCTGGATGCAGTTACTCTCGGCAGGGCGATGATCCAAGATGGAGGCCGAGGACCTGAACTTGTGCTTGCCCTCGTTGCGGCCGTCTCTGGTCGGGGCTCGCCGGAGTACACGACCTTTGCCCTGCCTCTTATCAGGGACATTGCCCTTGAGCTTAATGTGGTGGCCCCGACTGTGCTGAATGGCTCGGTGAACCAGCTGCAGGGACTGTGCCACTTCGAGGGTTATATGTCGGCCTCGAGGTTGGATGATTGGCTTGAGTATGTGGAGTACCACATCCTCGTTGAGCACCTCCAGGCCCGCTACCCCTTGATCACCATGGAGTGGAACCGCCAAGTTCGCCTGGGAAGTGGACCGACGGAACCGGTCCCTTCGCGGCCGACCGACCGCGGGGAGGTGGCCGAGTTTAACAGGCTGGTGGGGCAGGGTACTCGTCGTCCTCGCCGCAGGGTCAGGGAGCACCCGCCGCCTAACAGCTGGGCTGCAGTGGTTGTGGATGCCATCCGGCTTTACCACGACCAAGGCTATATGGTGGGTGGTCTTGTGCAGGCAATCGCCGCATATGTGGACACTCGCCGGTACGGGACTCACACGACCTTCGCTCATCGTCAACTTCATATGATACAGTCTCTGACGAGTGGCCTGCACAACCTCACTACCTCGGTGCCTCCACCTGGGTTTGACAGATGGGCTTCTCACATGGAGTGTTCCCTTTGGGAGAGTTGTCCATTTCGGAGCGAGCGGCAGCACTGACTTTGCGGTGCAGGGTGGACTGGGCCAGGCTGCAGTGGCGGTGTCGTGCCTTCTTGGACGAGGGGGCATACCGTGCCTGGTACTCGGGTCCGCGCTTGTTGCAGCCCAGCCACCTGACGATGTCCCTCCGGATGACCCTCGTGAGCCCACCGGCCTTGGGCAAGACGTGGTACTACCTCACTGGCTGGTCGCTGTCCTCGCCACGACGGAGAACATGGTACAACGAGGGGTTGATGGATCGGGCATTCAGGGCTTCCTCTTTGCCCTTGCTGCTACGCGAGAGACACCCGCCTACGTGCGCTTTGTGGAACAGTACCTCCGCGTCCTCCGCTTGCTTGTGCCCCTGCCGGACATGGGGTCTCCGCCGACTTCTCCGGATTCGGGCCTGGTGGAGATGGCGTTGTTCGCGGACAACCACATGCTGGGGGAGTTCCTGGTGGAGAACTATGCCGCCGAGCTTGAGCTCCACCACCAACAGGTACTTGCAGGACGCCTTGGTACGGATGAGGACTTAGGCCCGACGCTGGGTGAGACACCGACCCAGAGAGAGCGCCGCGAGCAGTACAACCTTGTTCGCAGAGACTCTGCGATGCTCAGGCGCTTGCGCCAGGCGGAGCACCCACTGCCGGACCCTCGGGGCCATCGACTTTCCTGGGTTGGGGAGGCCTTGCAGATGATTGTGGACGAACAGGCGCAGGGGTTTGACATGGCGCCGTGCCTCCCTCTACTCCGAGCATGCGTGGCCAACAGGCGCTTCGCGGAGTACGAACAAGGAGCGGCGGGTTACCTTGGGGAGCTCGAGCATGAGGCGACTGAGTTGTGGCATGCGCCGCAGTACCGCTGCCCGGAGAACTTGGCAACCTGGGTGGCCAGCATGGAAGAAAGGCTGTGGCATGCCTTTGTACTGCACGGCCTGGACCTACGCGGCTGCCGACATGTGCCCAGCTCGTCGAGTTCCTCCTCCTCGTCTGCCGTTCAGGATGAGGATATGGATGATATCAACTCCCTGGTTCAGACGGCTAAGAAGTGGCTGAAGGGAAGGGATTCAAGGCGTCGGCGACAAGCACCACGACGAGGACACCGGGATGATCGGGGATCGGTGACGCCATCGAGACCGCGCAGGACCAACGATAGCACCCCACCTGCTTCCTCTACGGCGCCAAGGTGCACCACCGAAGTTGTGCACTTGAGCAATGTGGCGGAGCGGGCGGAAGACCGCCGAGCGATCGCCAAGCCCTACCCGATGCCCAAGCACAAGCCAGCGCCGTCGGCTCTCCCCTCTTCCGTGACTGGTGCGGTGTCTTCGGGGGAGGGAAGGCGTCTACCTAGCCTGTCCATGGATCAGGCCATCGACACTTGGTTGGCGGTTCTGGGACTACGACCGAGAGACGCACCCCAAGATGGCCTACTGCTCCCGAGAGCCACCATGGATAACATCGGCAGCACCTTCCTGGAGCAACCCCAGGCCGATAGGACGACACTCCTGCTGGCCATGGGGCGTCTTACTACCATGCTTCTTGGTGCCATGGGGGACGCGGTGGCTGTGGCGCAGGCGGCTAGTGACAGCAGAGCACGTCGAGAGCGCCAGCGACGCGGAGAGGGCGAGCTGGTTGAGGTGGAAGTGGATGAGGACGATGATGACACGATCTACATGCAGATGCCTGCGGTCGCCGACGGGGGCTCCACACTAGCTGGCTCTGACGTGCGCCGCGAGGGTGATGAGGGCTCGCTGATGCAGGGCAGCATCGACCAAGCCCGATGGGGAGGCTTGCTGGACGAGCTCATCAGGGCCCTGGAAGCGGCCCCCAAACAAGCAGGCCAAAGGGTTGCGGAATGGCTGGTGGACTGGGTGGACCATCGTTGTGCCAATGCTGCCGGAGGCTACCTCTTGGGGCATATGGGTGGATTGGTGGCTGAAGTCACTGCTGCTCTGGCGACGTTTGTTGGCCCGCAGGATGACCAAGACTGGGGGCTGGCGAGTGACGAAGAGGTCCGTCTGGGCATGCAGTGGGCCATGCGACTGCAACCGTACTTGGCTCAGCACCCGGGCAGCAGACAAGCCAGGGGACTTCGCCCGGAACAGCGACCAGTGATGCTGTTCATGAGGGTCCCGGACTCCCCGGAGGAGTCTGACGCCGAGCCCTCAGTGGTGAGTGCTCATGAAGGACAACGAGGAGCTGGCCATGATGTCACACGTGCGGTGGAGCAAGATTTGCATGGGGATCTACCGGCGCAGGAGCTGGACTCCGTGATTGCCGCGCAGAGGGACTCTGGCTACCTGGCACCACTACATGATCCTCGCCCGGATGCCGAAGAAGATCGCCAGGAGGCGGAGACGAACTACCTCGCGGGCCTCCGCACCCCGACCACACCGCCGCGCAAGCAGCGGGTGCTGACAATGGAGGTCTCGACGGGAAGCTCGGATCGGCCTCGGCTCCTTCGTTTTCCGGTGGACCCGGTTGGGGTGGCGGAGGTCCGGATCCGCATGGAGCTGCTCGAGGAGGAGGACCAGGACGGCATCGAGACCCAGCTGTTGCCAGGAGCGGGGCATGTGCAACCTGCTACTGGGCCCACGCCTGTGGATCTCGACCTCCAACGAGCTTTGTACCTCTCGGCTGGCGGACAGACGGGGGTTGTGGATACTCAGTTGGACGAGGGTGGCCACTTGGCGGAGCGTGGGGATGTGTCCTATGTGGAGCCGACGGACGATGGTGACGAATGTGCGGCGGATCGAGGGCAGACGGAGTGAGTGGCTGTGAGCGAAAGGGTTTTTGGCGGGCTGCCGTGGCCTGCACTCCTGGTCGCATGACCTTCTGACTGTGATGTGGATGTTGCAGACGGAAAAAGGAGTCTAAAAGGAGCTCAAAAAAAAAAAAAACCCTAAACCCTGGACCCTAAACCCTAAATTCTAAACCCTCAACCTTAAACCCTAAACCCTAAACCTTAAACCTTCAACCCTAAACCCCAAATCCTAAACCCTCGTTTTTCGGAAGCTTCTGGGACTCTAACCTAAATCCTAAACCCTAAACCTTAAACCCTAAAACCTAAACCATAAACCCTAAGCCCTAAACCCTAAACCGGAAGCAGGCGCAGCTCGCCGAGATGCAACAGCGGGTCCTCGAGTACCAGGCAGCTTCGACACCCTCGAAAGACCTTGCAACAGAGGGTTTAGGGTTTAGGGTTTTTTGGGTTTAGGGTTTAGGGCTTAGGGTTTAGGGTTTAGGGTTCAGGGTTTAGGGCTTTGGGCTTAGGGTTTAGGGCATAGGGCTTTGGGTTTAGGGTTTACGGTTGAGGGTTTCGGGCTTAGGGTTTAGGGATACAGGTCTCATAGGCTTTTAGAAAGTTGTTCGAGGGTTGTATGAAACTTCACAAGGTTTCATAGGGCTGTAGAAGGGCTCCACGGGGCTTTGTTTATTACAAGCCTCTATAGAACGGCAAGGGACCTTACTAGTGAATGAGCTGGTAACGGGTCTTGGGTCTTTTCCGTTGCTATGAAGGGGCTGACCATAGGGGATATTCGACCGGCCTCTTCGTGAAGGCTTGCGGCAGTTTGGGGCTGGTTTGAGATGTCTTCAAAGTCATAACTATGAGGTATCTCTCTATGGTCTATGACCTGACTTCAAGTGTTTTAGCACTACTGCGCCTTGTAAATTTTAAACTGCGCGGCAGCCCTCTTGAGGAGCACTTGGATGTTAGGAAAGTTGAGATGTCAGGGCTTTTGGGTGTCTTCAGTGTTCACGTATGGCTTAGGTTTTTGGGACATTTTGAGCCTGTGGCTTTAAAGCCTACTGTTGGATTTAGGTCATCTTGGGTTAGGAATTTGGACTTTGTGGCTTAGCACAGACTTGGTCCCACAGGTGAGTACACGCCGATCTTGCCGGACGGAGTACTTTCTGGGCTGAGCCACTAAAACCCTAAACCCTAAACCCTAAACCCTAAGTGAGCCCTAAACCCTAAGCCCTTGGACCCTAAACCCTTATGCGCCTGCAGATCTCAACCCGAAACCCTGATCTCGCATCCTTTTGATACTTAGCCCTCAAACATTGGTGAAGGCACCCCAAACCCGGAACCCAGACCCGGAACCTCGGGCTTCGGGGTTTAGGGTTTAGGGCTTAGGGTTTCGGGCTTCGGGTTTGGGTTTAGGGCTTAGGGTTTAGGGCTTACGGCGTCGGGTTGGGGGTTTAGGGTTTAGGGGTCAAGGCACCCCAAACCCGGAACCTAGGCGCTGCGGCTACAAAACGTGCGGAATGCGATGGCCAGGTGGGATACACCAACAGTTTTTGGGTGTCACCTTGAAGGTTCAATTATATAAGCTGCAGGAGCCACCCATTGCCTCGGACCCCATTGTGGTAGTTGCTAATTACTTGGAAGTTCATGGGTAGTTATAAATGGGGTTATAAGTAGGGTAACTATACTTAGAAGCCATATTAGGGGACTTATAGCCCCCTCAATGACTGGTAACTACCCATGAACCAAGTATAGTCTATCACCTTCAAGAAAAACTTCAGTCAACTCGTTTAGGCTACAAGATACTCCCACGAAGGTACGCCCAAAGCGGAGACAAACAGCAGTGAGTGTGCTTCTGTGACTCTACTCCTTCTGTGAGGCTGTGCTGGCGGCGGTTGTCACAAACAGACACAAGTGTAAACATCTGTTCATTCTATGTTGGTTTTTTGTAAGGCTGTCCTGGCGGGTGCCGGAAGAACAATGCAATGCGGGCTTTCTGTGAGGCTATGCTGACGTCTGAAGGGGCACTCCATGTAGGCTTTCTGTAAGGCTGTCCTGGTTGGTGCCGGAAAAACAATGAATTATGGGCTTTCTGTGAGGCTATGCTGGCGGGAATTATGGCCACGACCCACGAAAGCCCGCAAGCCAAACCCAAGGCCACTTAATGTCCAGTTTTTTGGCCACTGTCCGTTGCTGTTTAGGACCCAGGGTTTCGGGTTTAGGATTAAGGGTCGGGGCTTAGCAGCTAGAGGACCACATGGGAGTTATTTCAGGTGTGGGATGTTGGGTTTAGGGTTTCCAGCCTTCGTATTCAAGGTTTGAATATGTAGGCTTTAGCGTTTCGTTGAAAACACCTGCCCCTCCTCACTGTAAGGTAGGTTCCCCTTTTGGCTAGGAAGTCCTCGTAGGGAAGTGTGTCCTTGTTGGAAAAACTAAACCCTAAACTCCTAAACCCTATAGTGTTTGGGTGAGGGCGCGGCACGCGCCACCGCACAGAAAACGCTTACGAGGGAGCTTGGCTACAAAGAGCAAGCCAAGTTTGAAGGGCAAAGCAAAAGGCGAAAGCCGCCCAAAACCCGGTCAAAATTCCGGACCTGAACCCGAAACAGTTACTATAAACCACAACCCGGAACCGAAAAAGTACCCGATCCGGGTCCCTCGCCTTTCATGCTTGCATGCAAGGAAATAGCCATTGAGAGTAGGCTTTCAGTTCGAAAACAGACAGAGCTACAAGAACAAAGCAGATGTTAACATGCTATGAAGTACAAACTCAACATATGACATGTTATTATCTGCTCGATAAGAACAAAAGATGCGACAGTATATTATAACCAGAGACTGCTCAGGTTTCGGTGGAGCAGTCCAGAAGCCCTGAACCCAGCATCCGAAAGCCCTAAACCCAAAGTCCTGAAGCACTGAACCTAGCATCCGAAAACCCTAGACCCTAAGTCCTGAAGCACTGAACCTAGCATCCGAAAGCCCTAAACCCTAAACC